TCAGTTGAAATTTCTTCGGCATCTTCTCTGGAACTTTCTGGCCCTTTTAGATTTTGATGTATTATATGTCGTTATCGGCGGCATCATTGGAGGAGGGGGAAGCAGTGCGTCCATCTCTCCTGGGTGGAGTGCTTTCCTCCAAAAGTGGTATTTCATTGGCGTTATCAATGTTATAGACGAGAGAGATGGAGGTTTCCTGACCGTCATTAAAAAACATGTCTTGACCGGCCATGATTGGTTTTTGAGGTTTTTTGTTTTGATCTTTTGGTTTTATGGTGTGAAAAGATGGGGAAACAGTTTCTCACAAATGACGCCACTGATCTTGACTATTGATCAGAACATGTCAGTGACCGGTGACACGTCCGCGGTCTTCGAACAATCAACAAAAAGAGGGAGGGTGTACCTGTAGACACTCTGATGCTTAAGTCCGTTTGGGTGAAGCGGTAAGTAAGAAAGGGTAAAGAATATAATACCTGACCCTCTAGCAGAGGAGGTATTTATAATGAGCCCCAAATGCTATGCCAATGGTCTCTGTTGTGGGTTTGGTGTTCAAGCCCACAACGAATGACTACTAGGATCCCCACGTGAAAGTAAGGATGAGCAGCACATGCTCATCGTCCTTAGTTAACTGTTCCGTAGTCCACGGGTAATGGACGAACTTACCCGTTACGAAGGACATAACGGTTCCTCCACTCGTGCGAGATGTGCAGGTTCAGTTGGTGATGTGTCCTCAGGTGAGGAGTACGTGCGAAACATGTTCTTCACTGGCTCCAACGGATTGAGCCAACACTTTGTGACGTCCTCGACATAGACATTGATTGGGTCGTACTCGACGCTGAGTCAGCCACATGCCCAGTCCAGAATAATACCTCTAACTTCTGATAGTTACTAACCTGGGCGTCAAAGTGAAATCTTCCTAAGTGACAAACCACATAAAAATTATCTCTTTTTGAAACTTCGTATCTTTGACTCAAATCACAATCAAGATTCCTTACCGAAAGGATAAACTGATTAGTCAAGTTAGTAAGGTTTAAGCTCAAATCTCATAAAGATTTGAGTTTGAATTATGTTGCTAATATACAAATTTCATTGGTAGTTTATATTTTAATGTGGTTGTGAGTTTTTGTTTTTTATTTTGAAAGTCCATTTCAAAACTAAAACATATTTTGAATATGATATTTAATAGGGGTGTTCAAAAACGAAGCGACCCAATAGAAAACTGCTAACTAAATCAAATCGAAACTACAAAAATCATATTTGGTTCAGATGTGTTTGAGTAATTTTTTAACAAAATTGCATGGTTCAATTCGGTTTGCAGTTTGTATTTTACAAACTGAACCAAGCCGAACCAAACTGCATTATGTTACATCAAATTCAAACTCAAACGTATTATGCCTTAGTCTTACGATTACAGATGCTTTTCTCTTTCTCACACATGAGGTTTCAGTTTAATTCTTCTCAAATATCTCACACTGGTGTCACGCTTTCTTCTCATCTTCTTTTTCATGTACATCTCACACCTTGTTCTCTAGTATTTCATCTCTTATGTTTTTTTTTTTACTGTTCTCTCTTCCAATTATGTTCTTAATATATCTCTTCTTCTTTAATCTCCCATCTCTTCTGCTCTTTATTTTTTTATCTTCTCTATTTTTTCTGTTTCATTATAATATTTTTGATATTGTTTTATACTACTATTTTATTTTTTTACTCTATTTTTCTCTAATCTTATTTTTGTATATTAAATGGAAAGTTGTTGACCATATTTGATGAATTTTATTTTTATTTGATGACACACATAAATGACTAAATACAAATCAATGTTGTCATTTATATATGTATACATATGACTCAATAATTTTTTTTTTAATAAAAAAATGAATCAACTCAAATTGTATTTGTTTGATTTAGTTTGATTCAATTTTATTTCTAAAAAACAATCGAATCAAACTGAACCACACGTTTTTTTTCCTTGTAGTTCAGATAACTTTTTACATCAAAACCATCAAAACTACACGATAACACTCTTAAAATAAAGTTGATTTTTTTTACTTGATTTCAAAATCATTTTCCACTAAAATTCATATATATATTTTTTAAATTCCCATTTTTATTTTAAAGTTACACCACCACAAATTTTATCATTAACCACTATTTCAACAACTATTATGACCATTATATAAGATCACTATGAATACCTCTGACCACCATTAACCACCGTTAACCACTACTAATCTCTAGGGCAACCACATACAATAACTACTTTATTCATATGTGATATTTAATTTAACTACTACTTAGACATTGTCAACCATCAAATATTTCAATAAACGTTTTTATATAATGAAGATATTTGAGTTTAATTTTTATAAATAAAATTATTCAATAAAAAAGTCTAAGCATGTGTCAAAATGCTCTATGAATAAGCATTTAAAATATTAGTATCTAGATTATAGACCTCACATGCAAGTTGTGTGTTGTTGTGAGATATACCAACCAAGCAAAAGAAAGATTCTTACTCCATTGTTTTTCCCACTTCATGAAACTCTTTAACGTAAAGCCTTTAAATTTGCTAATATGACACCAAATCAAATCTTAAAATTGATTTATCAAAATGATGTGTTAATTAATTTATAATTTCATCATTTCCTATGTGCCACGTTCTGTTCATTCGTGCAAGTTAATGAACCTAGTGTATCATAGTACTAATAGTTAAAAAAAGTTGTTAAAATATAAAAAAGAAAAAAGATTCCCCTGCCTAAAGATAATAGTCTAAGTTAAGAGAACCTAGTTGAAGCTTGAGACAAGATTTATTTATATTCTTCTTTCTTGTTCTTTTGCCATTAGTTTGAGTCAGTATTTAATAAATAAAAATAGTAATAATAATAGTGATTATAACAAAGTAAAAAGCAACAAATTTAGGGGAGGGGGTGTATGTAGTAAGAAATACTAGTAACAAAGAAAAGGCCAAACATTGAAAAGGTTGGAGAAATTTCTTTTAGAAAAAAGTGTAAAATGCATCATCAACTGGTCCCAATGGCTTCAACTTTCAATCCCATGACTTATGAAAATAACCACTGGCTTTAATTTTAATTGTTTTTTTCTCATATTTATTTTTTCAAAAATAATATTAATTGATACATGGCCCTAGTGTGGGCTATTGTGGCACACTATATGAATGATAAGGCACTTGGATGGTCCCTACTCATCAACCTCACATCTAACTCATGACATGACTGATTTTATTGAATTCATAAAATTCTCTCTCTCTCTCTCTCTCTCTATATATATATATATATATATATATATATATATATATATATATATATATATATATATATATATATATATATATATATATATATATATATATATATATATATATAAATTAAAATTTGCTAATAGATCCTACAAGAATTCATGTACCATTTTCAATTTAAAAATATTTCAAATATAAAATTATTTACTATTTAATTAAAATATATAGAAAAAATATTTAAAATAGAGGATAATATTTTTTCAAAAGAAACCAATATAATTAAATTGATGCAAAAGTAATGCTTGAATAATAATATATGTGATGAAAAACATATTTTTTTAAAGTGATAGATACATGTTGTTAGCTCTTCCTTCATAAACCCCATTCTCCTTGTCATTTTTAATTTTGGTCATTCAAATTTAATCCATTCCTTTAATAATAATGCATGGGTTTGAAGTTAGTTTCTTTATTACAATTAATTGGTGAGATATACTAAAATATTTTTAGTTTGATTATTTAATTATTCTTATAATTTCAAATAAGAATTAAATTATCAATTTAACATTATATAATTAAATTATTAAATTAATAGCATTTTAAGATATTTAGAATAAAATACATTTAAAAAAGTCATTTGTAACCTATGAAACAAATATTTGTTAATACATATATAGACTAATATCAATAACTTTTTTTTTCAAACACCAAAAGATCATGATTTGTGTGTAGCTTTATTATATAGTTTTTTTTTGTTTGATTTGGTTTCAAGCTTTATTATATTATTATCATACCATATACTAATATACTAATATACTAATATACTATGCTATGTGCTCTACTCTATACCGTCCATTTTGTGTGACCCTCTCATTATATAATTCCTCATTTTCCTTCATTTCTGCTCCCTGCTTTTTTCCAACTCCTTCTCTTTCTTAACTCACCTATCTATGGCTTCTAACTATTCTTTCTCTTCTTCAATTCCTTCTCCAAAATCTAGCATGTTCTATTATGGTGGAACTGAAGATTTCTATGATCAACCTCACTTCCTTCAAGCTTGTTCTCTTTGTAGAAAACATCTTGGCCAAAACAAAGACATCTTTATGTACAGGTAATTTAGTTCATTAATTAATTACCTCAATTTTCAATTCTAATTCATCTTTTACTCATACATAACCCATATCAAAATTCTATTTTTATTCATACAAATTTAGTTTTTTATACTTAACTTTCATTTGGGTCATAGAAAGTATAATTATTTTTTACAAAGATCCATTAAATAGTTCAGATCTAGTGAAAAATTTAATATATAATTAATATAAAATAATTATTTAGATGATTGGAATTTTTTTGTTTATTGTTGAGATTATGTGATATTGAATGAATTTTGTGAATTTGTAGAGGGAACACACCATTTTGTAGCAAAGAGTGCAGACAAGAACAGATAGAGATGGATGAATCTAAAGAGAAAAGTTGGAAGATTTCATCGAAAAGAAGTGTTAGAAATTCAGAAACCAATCAGAATTCTACAAACAACAAGACTGTAAGATCAGAATCAGTTGCAGTGGCCTAGTCTAATTCACATGTTATGTATGGTGAAAAAATAATTCCAAATTTTTGAGAAAAAATGATGAAGTGGAAAATTAAGAGGAATTAATTTCCATGATGAAGATTCTGATTAAAAAAGGATGAATCTTTTTGTAAAGAAATTGTTGGAGTTTTAATGAGAAATAGAAAGAAAAAAAACTCAACAAGAAATTTTGGCTTTTTGTTTGTGTTTTTTATTTGATCCTTTTATTATTTTTTTCATATTTTCTAATCTGAGTTCTATGTGAAAAAAAAGAAGAATATCATAGATATCATGATAGTGTTTAATTTTCCATAAATTGAAGCAACTAAAAAGTATCAAAGATACTTTATGGGGATCTAGAGTGAGTGAAACTTGTTTACATATTTTCATTATCATGTGACCATGGAAGAACTATATTCTTTGAAAAAAATATTAATTGATCTTTAGAATATTATCAAAACTAGTCCTGGGTGAATCTAGAATAGTTATTACTAGTTAAAATTAAAAGAAAAAAATGATATGAAATTCAAAAAAAAAATAGTATTTTGATTGTGTAGTGACTAAAATTCACTTTGACAGAAAATTACAATAAAAAATAAAATAATTTATATTCAGATATATTGATATGAATGTGAGTAGTGCAATTAGTTTGAGAAATAATAATTTTTATTTTAAAAATTATATTTTAAAATGAAATATTATATTTAAAAGCAACAAAATATATTCAAAAGCTCTTTTTTTTTAGAATAATTCATAATTAACTCATAGAGCTAAAATATTTTACAAACTTTATAAAACCTAGTATTTTAAAGTTTTAGATTTGTAATAGTGTAAATAATGGTTAAGAAATTGGTTGGTCATAATTTAACCATACAAAATTGATTTATTGGACGATAATTATTTTCACTTATAAATATTTGTTCTAATTATATATTATCTGATGTGAGATTTTTAACACTCTTTTACATTTAAGATTGAATATCTAAGACGTGAAAATAAATGGTAGATGACCCAATAGTAAAACTATTATAGCAGGTGGTCAATCAGATTTTAAACTAAACTCTTGATATTATGGATGACAAAGGGTAGAATTTGAATAGGATACTATTAAGGTGTTCGCGGATCGTTTGGTTCAATTTTGAGAAAATTCGATGTCTAAACCGATAAAAATAAATGGATTGGTTTCGATTGGATTTGAAAAAAAATTCAATAAAATTCAAATCGAGAATCAACATATTTTTTTGAGTTGGATTGATCGGATACGTTATAAGCAAATGTGCAAAAGTATTTTTAAAGTATCTATTTTACATCAACTAATTTTTCATAATAATATAAATTTGTTAATTATTTTTGTTTTTTCATATAGGTTATGAATGTTAGAAATTGGGTTTAACTTTTTTTTTCTTCTTGAAGTTGAATATCTTATAATAGTTTTCTTGATAATGGTGATATAAATATGAATTAATATGGTTGACTTGGTAGACAGACTCGCGGGTAGAACTTTGGAAATTTATTGTCCGATCAATTAATATCGGGTTTTATTGATTTAGTTCGATTTTGTTCGGACGATTTTCTTTTATTGATTTAGTTTGGATTTCAATTTGACTCGAATTTATCCGAACCAGTGAACACCTCTAAATACTATAGTACTTGTTCCTATTCCTGTAGTTTGAAAAGATCCTTGTACCCGAACTCAAATGCATGAGGACACCGACCTTTATACTTGTATTTATTTCATATAAGTACTTATATTCGTATAAGTTATTTGCAGTTCATATATATATATATATATATATATATATATATATATATATATATATATATATATATATATATATATATATATATATATATTGAAAAATATAATACCATTTTAAATTTTTAACAAAGTTAATAAAATCTCAAATATTTTGTTGATGAATTACGAAATATACAAATAATTATATTAAAATGTGTAATAGTTCAATTGTGATATTTTTTTCAAAGAGATATACATATATTTTTTATATGATGATATAAATTAAAATATACAAATATATGTTAGACAGATATGAATAGTTATATTATATGATGTACATATATACCCACACTTACATTTACTTATTTTAATAGATAATTTACTCGTGTTTCTACGTATATCTATTTATAGATTTTTAGGATAAAAAATGTGGGTACTCATCAAATATAGATAAAATTGTCATTTTTAATTAATATTATATTAAAATATATAATTGTGTCTAACTCTACCTTATAACACTAATTTATAAAATAAAAATTATCCCAATTATAAATATATATTGAAGTTATATATTATTGATGGGAGACTCTTAACCATAATTAATTATCAAGAAACATAATTTAATCTTAGATGAAGCAAATTTTTGTAAACATATTTTAATTGGTAATTGCAAAAATATTGTTTTGGTTGAAAAGGGAAGAATAGAAAAAGAAGATCCATGGTCTATAAGAAAAAATTTATGTTCAAACCGAAAATTTTCACTTTTTATGTATTTAAAATGTTTGAGCTTGGTCATTGAATTAAGTAAATAGAAATAAATAAGAAAATAGAGAAAATTACCAAAAAGTCTATGATATGATACTTGTATCTTTATGTGGAGCTATCAATGGAGTTAAAAGCAACAACCAACAATCCATGTGGCTCCAACTAGAATGTGGAAAAAGCACAAAATTGAAAGGGCCACTCTTGTCTCAATTTAGAGAAAGTAAATGGCATATTTAAGAATAAAAATTGTTTAATTATGAAATAATTATTGAATTATAATTTGTACAATAACTTTTTCTTTTATAATGTGAGTAGAGTGAAAAATTGGCAAAACCCAAAAGGACTTGAAAGCCATGTCATAAAACAAATACACAAAGCCCAAAAGCAAATGCCCAAGTCAAGCTTACCATAGAGAAGAGCAATTTGACACCCCTAATTGTTACATTTGGCACCCCACACATGTAAAAAAATGTCAATTGTGACTCTCTTTTAATTTACGTCTCTCCAACTTTATATGGTTTTGAAAAAAATTACTCCCCAAGAATCAATACAAAATAAAATATAATTTCTGGAAATATTCGGTACAAATAATAATATTTTTTGGCAAAAGTGTTGAAATTTAGTTGGATTTTTTTTTATAGGACAACGTAATATTATGTATTTGTTTATACTAGATTTTTTTTTGAAAATCCGATGCGTATTTTCATGGATATAGGGTTTTTATAATTTTCGAGTATTAGATTTTTTTTGGGACCTTTGAAAATTTAGTATGTTAATTTTTTATTTTTTTCACCAACATTCTTTGTGATGTTAGAAAGTCATTTAAAAAATAAATCAATACTTATATTATATTTGTTTACTTAAACGATATAAACATTTAAATTTAGAATTTCTGAGGATATCACTCTAGTGGATCAGAAATTCAAGCACTTACACCACAACAATCGAAGAATAGTTAAGGTTGTTTCCAGTTCACCCAAAATTGGTTTTGAATGGAGTATAAGGTTTAGTAAGTTATGTAAGAATTATGTGGAGTACATTCACTATAATAAAATTAAGGATTCAATTGAAGTGGATGTGACACTTGCAAGATTAACATATGATATTCTAAAAATGCTAAAACGTTTAAACAAGGTTGGTGATGATGTGTTATTTTAGATTTATATTAAGTTTATGTTATGTCTAGATGTTGTTAAGTTTATGTTATGTTATGTTTAGATGTTGTTAAGTTTATGTTATGTCTAGATGTTGTTAAGTTTATGTTATGTTATGTTTAGATGTTGTTAAGTTTATGTTATGTTTTTAAGTTGATGTTGAGATTATGCAACGAAAAGTCATGAATAAGTAATAATAAAACGACAAAAAAGTCTTCAAATAACAAGTCATGAAACAACAAAAAGTCATGATCCAACAAGTAGTAACAATACATCTATAACGATCCACCATGTGCAATTTGTGCAATTTTTGTTGCAAAAATATAAGTCTAACCATCTAGGTTTATCAAACCTATGAGGTTATAAAAAAATAAGAGATATTGCACGCACTCTCTGTCAATTAGTCATACTATATGGTGGAGGCGGTGATGGAATCTCATCTGAAGGGTCGACTGAACCAAGAGGGATAACGAGAGGATGTGATACTCTATAGTACCACTCTAAGTATACATCCAAAAATTATCCAAGAAACGACACGACCAATGTATTTTCTTTAATCACAACGATATTAAACACCATGTTAGCAGAAAACCATCAATCAACGCTATATGGTACAATATTGAATGGTCATGGCATTCCATACACGTAGCCAAATGGCGAAGATATCGCTTAGAAAGGCAAGCAATCGTTGAACTCTCCTAACGCATATAACCTAAAAATAGTGCAGTCTCGTTAAACTTCTAATGTACCTTATGTTTTGTGTATGGTGTCCATATGACATCATTAAAGGTGAGAGCATCAATCTTGTGTTGGTACTCTTGAACACCGCTTGTGTGAACATGGTTGGAGATCCATCTTGTTGCTCTTAAGAAACCATATGTGATAGAATACCAATCATTACTGTTACAAAGGAGGGGAAGTGCTCGTAGATCCAACACTACACTAAAATATACAATTTAAAACCATAAAACCGTACATTAATACTTACAAAAAATACAAAAATTATTTCTATTGAAACAAGGCTCATATAAACTAACAAGTTGCACCATCTCAAATGTGGTATCCTCTCAAAGAACATGAGAATTAATTGTCAAAGCAGCGCATAGCCATGCCCAACGATGAAATACAAGGTCGATGAAAACAAAGATAAGTACCTCGTATCAATATAGACATGTGACTTATCCTCCAAAATAATGCACCCAACTCGATACATCATGTATACTTTGGCGGCCTCTGGGTTCATAACATGTTCCACCAATGATGCATAAGTGTCATAGAGCAAAGAGAAATGAAAATGAGCACCCATGTTAACCTTAAAATTTCAACAAAAAAAAATCGTGTAATGCCCAAGTATGTCTCTGCACTCATATTAGCCAGCTCAACATTCATCAATGGATGGATAAAAAGTTACTTGTGAGGAGAAGATGAAATAGACTAGAGACATTGCTCCCATGATTGTCATATCCCCAAATGAAATATAGAATGGTGATGTCTCCTTATGTCATCACTTCACAAAAGTATATAACAAAGGAGCGACAAGAGTTATGAGCAAACATCACACCAGATGGAGCAAACGAATATCATACATTAAACTCATAACCTCATCACACATAAGCACAATTGAAAATTTATACGGCTTTATCCCACAAGTAGGGACCTTCAGTGGAATGCGGTCATGTCATAATTCATATAATATTAGTTATTTTAAATTAACCACTAATATATAAAATTAAATTAAA